AGTCAGCAGCAGAGCCAGCCCATGAGGAGGGGACATTGGGGAGAGTGGGCTTTTGGGAGGCCCTTGAGGGATCTTGTGAGCTGAAGCCGACTGCGGGAGGGGGGCGGGGGGGACGACAACTCCCCCAAATGACTGCTCCCTGTGATAACCCTCGAGAGGGAGGGAGCACTGCACCCCTTGACCACACGGTGGCACTGCAGGACCGTCTCTGGCTGCCAGCAGGCTGATTAGCAGGCGGGAGGTTGGACTCTGGGCCTGGCAGACTGGCTCCTGCTCGCTGGGCTCTGGGGTACCCAGAGAGAGCCTGACCCTGGAGTTGGCGCCCGGGAGGAAAGGGCCCCTGGTGTTGTCCCTGAAAGGAGGGACCTAGGATGCCCTGATGGGAGTGGACATCAGAACACAGGGTCACCTGGGCTGGGTGGCTTGCTCACTCATTCACAATTCTCCCTACAGGGCCCTGCACCTGCAAGTCCTGTCTGGGCAGGGGTCCCAATGTCACGGGGTGATATGATGGTGTGACCAGGGTGGGGGGACAGCAGGGACAATAGGAATCAGGGACAAGAGAGACAGTGGGGGATAGGGGACAGTGAGAAACAGCCAGAAGGGACAGTGAAGAGCAGAGTGACCAGGGAGTGGACAGTGGAGGACACTGGAATAGTGAGGGACACACAGGGGACAGTGAGTGGAGTGTCCAGTCTCCTTCAATGCCAGATCTGTGGGTGGCCACCGTTTGACCATGGAGGACAAGGGCCCCTCCTAGCCTTTGAGGACCCGGCACTTGGGTGCCAGGTGGCTGGGCCTCTCAGTCACCATGGTCAGTGGGAACCTGCTCTAGGCCCTCCCCTGGAGGGCAGTCTGTCGGCGTGGCCTGGGGTCTCCTGAAGCTGACCACGCACTGCACTGCAGCTCCCACGGGGAAGCCTTGGAGGCTGGGAGCTCATTCGCTGGGAGGCGACGGGTGCAGACACATTCCCTCCCCCAGAAGATGGCTTCTGGGGACGTCCCTCCCATTGAGAGGCGCCCAGCAGGCTGGTCCCTCCTTTCCATAACCCTGGGGCTGCAGCTTCCCTAAAGCTGCCTGCAGCCTCCCGACTGCCTAGGGCAGCCCACGCACACACACAAACACAAATGCATGCCCCTGAGGTCGCTATGCTGGCCACCTGAGCCCCTCGGGGACCTGTGGACACCCAGTGCCCAACAGCCCCTGCCCGACCGAAGCCGTCGGATGGTCTGATGAACAAGCAGCACCCAGAGCCCACCTACACGCACAGATCCTGGACTAGAGGGAGGAGGAGCCAGTGGTCGTGTGGACCCCTGGGCCTGGCTTGGCAAGTGACATCAGGAAGTAAAAGCTTCGGATGCAGAGGTGGCCCTGCAGCCCGGGGAAGTGACCATATGATGGTGGATACAACCGCAGGTCCAGGGTCATTCGGGGACACCAGAAACTGGAGGCGACCCGGAAGGAACCTCCCTTGGAGCCTCGGAGGGAGTGAGGCCCCCTACCTTTGGGGAGGATGAACGGGTGCAGTCTGTGGTGGGGCCTGTGCAGAGGCGGCAGCGTGAGGCTGGGACAGGCCCCCTCGTGGCCTCTGCTTCTCCACCGGCGACGCGGGTAGGATCTCAAGACAGGAGGCTGGCGATCTACAAGCCCCCGCAGCAGGGCTGGCAATGCACCTCCTACACACACTCCCCTCGAAAGAAACAAAACTGGCAGAGGGGCCGCCCTCCCACAGCCAGCAGGTTCCTCTGCAGTTCTGGAGGCGTGGCTTGTCGGCACCTCCCACCCGACGGGCGGGGCCCTGCAAACAGGTTGTCAAAGCCTGGGCACCATCTGTCCAGGGCACCTTCGCCCAGGAGCAACCCAGGCCCGGCCACTGTGGGCCTCCTCCTCCTGCCGCGCACAGGCCAGGGGCTCTGTGCCCAGGGCAGGCATCAGAGGGCGGTGTCAACAAGGAGAATCATATAGTCACTTGGCTGTCACCGGCCCCAAGGCTGCATCGCGATGTCTGATCTGAGAAGCAGTCCTCCTGGTTTCCATGACACCCACCCCCTCCCCTCAATCAATCTACACTCTGGGACTTGGTTAACTGGTGCTCAGCTGGCTCTTACCACAGCCCCTCCTGGAGCTTGAAGGACCCTCCCTCTCCTGGCATTGCAGGTCTGCTTCAGGAGGTGTGGACGCATGCCACCACCTTTGATGACATGGGAGGGGAAATGATGTAGAGCTTGAAGCCACCGCCCCCCCTCCCCCCAGGTCTGTGGTCTCCCACTCCCTCCTAGCTGTGCGTCCCCCAGCATTGGGGATCGGAGTGCAGGGGCGGGGGCAGTTGGAGCCCCAGCCAGATGGCTCCAATATGAGGTGTGGACCTGTGGCCCCCGACCTGTGAGTCGGTTTGTGACACACGGGGAGAAATGAAATTTGGATACTTATCCGCTGACCTTGGGAGACAGACCTGGGAGGGCAGTGGGTGGCCCCTCAGCTCCCACAAACCAAGCCGTCTCTGGGCTTCCTTGAGTGTGGGTGACCTTTATGAAAAGAGACAGCCAGGCCTGTCTTCCGGGGTCCAGGGGGTGGGCTCATGGCACACATGACCTGGGTGCCGCCAGGGGAGGAGGGGCCGACCAAGAGATCCCCAGTTGACTTTGCGGGTGGAGGGGGCCCTGAGCCACGGAAGCCTGGGATGTGCTTGGACCCAAACACCCTGCCCGCCCCTCTCCACCCCCCAGCCTGCCCAGAACAGACAGTGAGGCCAGCCTGTGTCCAAGTTTATTGACAGCCCACACAGCCCCGAGCCCAGCGCCCTTGGTAAATAGAGAGAGACTCTAATCCTTTCTGAGGACGTTCACACCTGTGCTTCATGGTCGAGTGGCCGGCTTGGCGAGCACCCACCCACACGGCCCGCGGGCTCCACAGTGGCCGGGCCCAGTGGGCACCGGGTGCAGGGCCACGGAGGCCCCTCCCCCAAGGGCCTTCTGCCAGGATGTTTTTCTTAAAACAAACAGATGCGCATGGCTGTGGGTCCTGTGAGCCAGGACTGCAGGTCTGCGCTGGGGGCGGCTTGAGCTTCTGGAAGGGTCCAGGCTGCCGGGGGCTGGGGGAGCAGGCTGCGGGCTGCCTGCACGGTCCAGCAGGCACCAGGCACGGGCCAAGTCCATCCTGGCGGGGTTACTCATCCCCACACTTCTGAGTCATCGTGATTTCGGAGAATCGGGTTTCAAAGTGTCATCATTGCGGTTGGTTTGCGGTCAAAGCACTGTCGGTCTGCGGCCAGTCCGCGGGCTCCCGGCGCCCCTGCGCACACACTCGAGAACACACACACACGCACATACCCACTCACACGTACACACACACCTACACAGGTACATGAACCCATACATGTGTGCATACCACCCAGACATGCATGTACCTGCATGAATGCAGTCATGCACACAAACCTGTTGACTGCCGTGCAGTGCACACTGTACACACACACTCACATGCACACAGTGCATCGAATCTCATGTGTGTACACATGCATGTGTACACTCACAATGCACATGCCCCCAGATACGTTCTGACCCCCTAGAGCACATGGCAAGGAGCCCTGCTGCAGGGCAGGCTGGGATGTGGGCTCTGGGTAGACCAGGGCGTGGGGCCAGGGCAGACGGCCTGTTGCTGACCCACTTCCTCTCAGGGGCCTAGCTGTCTCAGTGTCTGCAGGGGGTGCATGCCAGGGTGGGGACAGGGCCCACATATACCTGGGAAGGTCAGGTAGGGGACCATGAGGCTTGCATGCATGTGCACACATGTGCTGGTCCAGGAGGGTTGGGAGCCCCACACATACATGTACACGTGTGTGAACCAGGAGGGGGCTGTGGTCCCCAGACACACGTCACACATGTGCAGGCCTGGGCAGGGAGAACAGTGCCTCAGAGAGAAGCCAGCTGGAGGCAAGGGGGGGCTATGTGACCAAGGACCTGCCTATGTGTCCAGGGCTCTGGCCAGGAGGGGCCTTGCTGAGACCAAGAGTCCTACCCCACAGGGGTCCCTGAAGGAGGTGCCCTGCAACGTACCCTCCCCACTCTGTCGGCTCGCTCCACTCCATGGGACCTCATCCTGGGCTGGCTTGTCCCATCGGCACCGAACTGAACGCCACACTTTACAGGACAGGGACCTGCCTTTTCCTCCGTGGCAGCCGACGGAAACTTCTTGGACCTCCGGCTGTCAGTGACTTACAGCCAGGGGTCGGGGCCCTGGTGCCAGGTGGGGATCGTGCTCCAGCTCCTGTCTATGTACATGGCGGGTGGTGGAGGCAGGGGGTACTGCTATCTGACACGCTTCTCCACCGAGTACACAGAGATGTAGTAGTCGTTGCTCCCGACGGCCAGGTGCGGCTGTGGGGACACAGCGGAGGCAGGAGTGAGTGAGGGCCGTCCCCTGACAACCCCCATGTGTCTGCAGACCTGCCCGATGGGCAGGATCCCAACTCAGACCCTCCCGCCCCACTCTGCCCCAGGGTCACGAACCCAGTGCGGGTGAAAAGCCAGGCAGCTGATGGCGCCCACTCGCTGACCCATGAAGCCATCATAGTACTTGATGTGGTTGACCAGCTCCCCGCTGCCGTTGTAGATGGCGGTGAACTGGTTCATGGAGCCACTGGGGGCAGAGGGTATGAGTAAGGGGGGAGGCGGCGGTGCCTGGCCAATGGCACTCACCTCTCCAGCCCACCCCACAGGGGGTGGGGAGTGGAGCAGGGTGAGGTGGGATAGAAAGAGGTGAGCCAGGCGAGGTCTAGCCCACAGTAGAGGGGCAGGGCGGCTCCCACCGACCACCTACCAGGCAATGAGGCTGGCCTGTGGGTGGATGTCCAGGGCTGTGAGTCCCTTCACAATCTGCAGCACATTCACGGACTCAGCCATGCGGGGGTCGAAGAAGCGCACATCCCCGTTGACACTGCCGAGGGGACACAGTGACTGTGGGTCCCCAGCCCAGCGAGGGGCGATGCAGGCAGAAGGGACAAGGAGGGCACTGTGTGCAAGCGACTAATGGTAGAGTCTGGGAGGATGTGGGTGTGTGGTGGGCAGTCCTGCTCTCGGTCGGGTGCAGGAGTCGGAGCCCCAGGCAGCTTTCCCTGGAGTGGAAGAGTGTGTGCGTGTAGGGCTGGGGGATGAGCTGTGGTGGGGTGTGAGTGGTGTGGGGGATGGGCGGGGTACGTGCTTGCACGTGTGCACTCCTTACCTGACGCTCACGATGTGACCCTCTGGGTGCTTCTGCAGGTGTGCCTTCACCACCCAGGCCGTGTGCTCCCGGTACGTCATAACACGGCTGCGTGGGCACAGAGTAGTGGAGCGGAGGCTGTGCTGTGGCCCCTCTTGCCACAGCCCTCCAGGGCACATGGGACATCCCCCCGGGGGTGGGGGGCTGCTCCACAGACTATGCACCTGGCCCGTGGACCTCCATCCTGGCCACCACCCAGGCTGTGGTCCCTCTAGGCCAGCTCAGCCTGCCAGTCTCCCACAAGGGTCTTGGGGCCCTGGACTTCCCTTCCTTCGGGTGGCACGCTTGCCAGCCCAGAGCTGACGGGCTAGTCCTGTCACAGGTTCGGCCCCCAGCCTGGAGGCCCTGACCCCGAGCGACCCTGGCTGGTGGGGGGCTGCCAGCCCCTCCGTGGAGCCAAGGGTAGACTGGGATCCGCACAGCTTGAGGGGGCATTGCTGGTCACATGACAGAAGACCTGGGGGTGGTTACCATTCGCTTAGCGCCATCCTCCGGTCGTAGACACGGATAGAGCCATCGCCCAGGCCCGCCACGATGAGGGAGCGGCGCGAGTCGCAGGACAGGCTGGTCACACAGCTGTCGGCGCCGGTGGGGATGTCCTACGGACCAGAGGGGTGGGGGTGTGCAAGCCAGTGACGCTGGGGCCCGGGCACCTGGGCCACTTTACCAACCCTGCCTCCAACGGCTATTCCCCTCCCGGGCTCTGCAGGGTGGGCGCCCCAGAGAAGGTCCTGGCTGTGTCTCCTCACCAGCCGCGCCCCCAGCAGCTCTGGGCCCATGGAGCTCCCTCGCCCTCCTGAGAAGAAGGGTGGGTACACTGGCAGGAGGGGTTCTGCTTTGCCCCTCCAGGACAATGGATTACCGGGGAGAATGGTTTGGAGGGGTCTCTGACCCATAGGCAACCCTGCACGGGCAGCCGCAGGTACACACACCAGATGGGGCAACGAGGGGCAGGACCAGCTCGGGGGTGGGGGTGTTGCTTGCGGGCTGAGGCCTCCATTGGCACTGCAAGGGGTGTTGTGTTGTACAGACCTGGGGCCTCCACCTGCCCCTTTCACCCAGGGGGACAAGATGACCGGAGAACAAGTAAGGGGAGCCCTTGTGGGGCAGGAGGACAGGATGAGGCTACAGCAGTGACCTCTGGCCACTCACCCCGCCATGCATACTCATACACATGACACCTACACACAGACCACACACATTACACATCTACGCATACACCCTGACACCATATGCACACACACGTATACCTACACATGCACACATCCCACCACACATACTCACGTTAGACCTATAGTCATACACACCACACACACACATTACACATCTATATATACTCATGCCATATGCACACGCATACGCATCCATCCCTGCAGACCATGCACTCACACGTTATTTCTATGTATATTTGTATACTCACATCACACATGCACCCATACATACACACACACCTACACATCCATATATAAACATATATACTTGCATTACACGCATACACAGCCTCCACACCTACATCAACACACATTACACCTCTATACATACATCATACATTTACACCTATAGCAAGTCACACTCAGAACATGCACACCCAAGTAAATCCCCACACACCACACATAGAGCCCCCCACATATATACACATTACGTTTATGTGTGCACACACAATACCCAAACCACAAGGTCATGGCCACTGGGTGCATTCCGACTCAGTGATCCCACACAGGGCAGAGCAGCACTGCCACGCGTGGGTTTCCAAGTGCAAATCTCTACAGGAGCAGATAGCCTCATCTGTCTCCCATGGAGCAGCTGATGGTCTCAAACTGCCAACCTTGTGGTTAGCAGCCCAATGTGTAACCCCTCACACCACCTCACATCTACACACGTAATGCACACACACAAATAGACCTCCCCACACATTTCACCTAATCATATACACACTGCATCTCTGCATACACACTCACATGCATATACACTTGCACACAACCACATTAACCCTATACATATACCTACAAATACACAAACATGCACATGTGACCACACTCCCACAGATCATACATATATAACTACACATTATACCTATACATGTAAGTACATACCCCTACATGCACATACGTTATACCTATACACACATTACCACATGTATATACACACATTTTACCTATCACACACAAATACACATAAACACAAACCACATACACATGTCCCAAACATATACATGTATACACACAATTACACATATATATCTAGATACATACTGAAAAAATTACACCTCCACATATACACATATACATCACACCTACCGAACACACATGCATTCATGTACATAGTACACACTCAGCACACGATATCTACACATACACCATCTATACTCACATATACATGTAGTACACACACACACATATACACCCAAACACATTCCACATACTCTCTACAGTCACACACACCACACACGAGGGCTTCAGAAAGCGCATGGAAAACAAATCTCTCACCACCCTCTGAAAGCCTTTGAGAGAGACATACCCCCCCATACATAGCCACACTATGCACACACCCCAGCAGTAGCCACCCCGCCCACCCCTGCATTAACGCAGTGAGGTCGAGAGGCGCCAGTCTTACCCCAGGCTGTGAGCAGAGGGCAGTGTGCCTCAGAGCTCAGCAGCCCCGTCTTGATGGGGTGGAGGTGGGGGTGAAGGTGGGCTAGGGTGAGGCATGAGGGGCTTCACTTTGCACGCCCCTCTGCCTGGGGCCTCTGCTCTCCACTGTGCACCCACTGCCCACCCCAGCATGGGCGAGGTGTCCCAGGCAACCCTCCGGGACCCCGCTCGTGGCTCTGTGTGAAACCTGACACCAAGAGCTGCTGGGCCTGAATCTCAGTGAGCATGTGGAGGGGACCCTGTGCTGGGTTGTGCTCACAGACACGTGACACCGGGCCAGGCCACGTACTCTGCTGAGGGCTTCTCCATGCATGCGCGGCCCACAGTGTATGCTGCTCAGGCACACCCTGCCCTGCCCTGCCCCCAGACCTTCCTGCTCAGGCCTTCCCACTGCCTGTACTGCATGCCCTCACCTACACCTTCTCCCTGCGCCCCTCCTCACCTGCACCTTCACCTCCCGGTCTGTGTCCCAGATCCGGATGATCCGCACATCCCCAGAGCTCATGAGGAGCCCCGTCTCCTGCTCCCAGTCCACCACCATGCCTGCGCCTGCAGACAGATGGGCATCACCCTGAGGCTCCACCCAGCTGAGCATCAGGGGCATGGTGGGGCAGCTGCAGGTGGGCGGGCTCAGGCCCTGGGCAGGGCAGAGGCACTGCTTGCTCGCAGCACGCAGGGCACCGTGGTGCTGTGCCTGGTGCTGCGGGACCTGGGGCGGGCACAGCTGACTCACCTCGAGTGGTTGGAAGCATGTCCGAGAGGCCCTGCCAGGCTGTCACCATCTCAGGGTTCTTCTCCAGGTCAGCGAAGTTCTTCCAGACCCTGATGGCGCCATCGTCTGGGGGTGCAGGGCAGGGAGACCGTGAGAGGCTGAGTCCCTGGCACTACGTCCCTCCAGCCCCCTGGCCGGCGGGCGGCCACTCACCGGTGGCTGTCAGCAGGAGAGAGCGGTCCTGGCCATTGAGGTACTCCATGGCGGTGAGCCGGGTGTAGCGTGGGTTCCCGTTGTGGAAGTAGTCCAGCTTCTCCCCTTTCTCCCAGTCCCAGAAGCTTTGGGAAAAACAGGAGCGGGGCTCACTGGTGGCTCACAGCGCTGAGGACCCTCTTGGTGCCTGCCCAACTGTCAACATAGGGCAGCTCGGGGCCTGGCACCCGGCTGACAGTGCTGCTCCCCCTATACGCCCTCAGTGAGGAGGGGCAAGGGTGACCCCAGAGGGGCCGCAGGAGCCCTGGTGGGCAGAGGCGACGCAGCAGGCACCTCACGGCAAGGTCAATGGTTCGAACCCACACATGGTGGGAGAACGATGCGACCTTCATGTCCGCAGAGCTCCAGCCTCGGAAACCCACAGCGGTCCCCACCTGTCCTGAGGGCTACTCCGAGATGGATGGGCTGAGGTCTGTGAGCGGGTCCTCTGCCCACCTTGCCTCACAGGAACACTGCCCCCGTCCATGGCCAGGCCCAGCTGTGCCAGGAGGGTGGGGGCAGGCCCGGGGGAGTGCGGGAGGAGATGAAGCCCCCAACAAGAAGAGGGGCACCCACCAGATGCTGTCTTTGTCAGCCACGGCGACGCAGGGTGTGAAAGGGTGGAACTTGACCACGGAGGGGACCCCTGGGTTCCTGTTGAGGAAGAGCTGGTCATCTAGCCGGGTGATCCCTAGATGAAATGCCAGCAGCCACAGTTTAGTCAATATTCAACCCTGCTCCCACTGGAGGGCTGGGGGCCTGGGGGGACCCTTTGCTCCCCTGACACTGCCCAACCTCAACCTCGGAGTCTGGGCCTCTGCCTGGAGCCCGCCCCAGCTGTGGGCACAAAGCGGGGCTCCGAGCAGGTATTCAGTCCGCTGGTCCTGAACCTACACGTTGCAAAGGAGCAGGCCTGGAGGGGAGGCCTGAACCCAGGACCCTCTCCCCGCGCTCCACAGGGAGGGCCTCCTGCTCTGCTCTCAGACCTTCAATCTCCCTGGAGCTCAGCAGAGACAGGCTGCAGCCACACCAACCCTTGGTGCCGGGGGCAGAACCGCGACATAAACCAAACCCACTGCCGCGAGTCATTTGACTCAGAGCGAGGCCCGGCCCGTTCTAAAGACGGGACCTGCGGTCCTCCAGCGCCCCTCAGGGCTGCAGACCTGCTCGCCCTCCCACGGCCCCGTTTCCCGCTTGCAAAAGGGAGGGTGGGCTCTGCCGGACACAGTGGGGCGTGGCCGGCCTCACCCCTCCGGACGAGCTGCTGGGCCTGCTTGCGCACACGCGCGTTCCTCAGGAACCTCCACTCGCGCTCCTTGCGGCTCTGGCTCTCCACGTCGTGCTCCTCCGGGATCTGCGCCGACAGGAGGGAGGGCGCGAGGGTCGGCCTGGGCCAGGCTCCCCGGGGGGGGGCCCTGTCCCAAGGGTGCCGAGCAGGGACGCAATGCGCGCGCAGGCGGGTGAGGAACGTACGGGGTGGGCGCGGAGGGCCTCCCGTCCAGCGCCCGGGAGGCGGGGCTTCTGGCTGGAAGGGGGAGGCAGGCCCGCGGGCCCGCGTGGCGCACGACGTGACCCCGAGATGCTCTTGGGCGAAGTGTGGCCGCGGGGCTCTGGGGACGCCTTGTGTGAGGTGTCCCCCAGCCCTGGGGCGGGTGGTCCCCTGCATGGCAGGTGGATGGACGCAGTGTTGAGCTGCGGCCCGGCGGGGTCCAACTTGGACCACGTCAGGTCAGCGGCCTTTCCCGACGGCACTGCCCGCCCTCACCATGTGCACCCCCAGCAGCCACCTGGTGCCCTCCCCGACTCGGCCTGCATCTTGGGCGTGAGCGCGCGCAGGGACGCTGTGGACAGGGACCCACGGCCGATCACCGGTCTCCTCCGAGGTGCGCGGAGTGGGTGCCAACCGCCAACGTTTGGGAGCAGTCTCGCGTGGGGCTATGAAGGCTGCGGGCAGACCAACGCGTGCGTCCAGCCCCCGCGCCCACCCGCCAGCAACGCTAACAGAGCGCATCTGCTTTCTCTGGCAGAACTGAAAAGAACGAAAAAGTCCTGCTTCCTCTCGTGGCTGGCGCAGCAGGTCAGGTGTTGGGCTGTTAACCATAAGGTCAGGTCGGCAGCTCGAATCCACCAGCTGTCCCACGGGACCACTATGAGGCTGCCTGCTCCAGTGAAGATTTATTTATAGCCTCAGGAACCCTACCGGGGTCACCTTTCGCCAGAGTGGACTCGATGGCAGTGGGGTGGGGTTTTGGTCCCTTTGGCTGCTAGTGGGGGAGCGAGCACCCTCAGCTGAGAGTACCAAGCAAGAAGGTTCACCTCCCCTGTTCCACAGCCCCAGTAAAGGCACTGGGGCCAAGGAACAGTCAGTGGTCACTGAAGCTGCCCTTAGCACAGGTGGCCAAGGAAAGAGGTGGAGATGGCAGCTGCTTGGCAGGGGTCAGTGTCCCAGCAAGCTGCAGGTGTATCTCCTTAGGGACTCTGCTACATCTGATATCACACCCACCTAAGCCGAGGCCCACTAACACCCCCTCCCCCGTAACTAGCCTGGCCTAGAAACAGTGGGCATCTGTTAGGTGCAGTACAAGGATGCTCCAGGGCAGGGTGGGCCCTGGACCACCCCCCACCCCCTGTCCACCCCAAAGGAGTCCTATAAACAGGTCAGACCAGGCCAGGTACAGGTGCACACAGGGGCCGGACAGAGCCTCACTCTGAGGCCACCTAGCACCATGCTGGGGTTCTAAGCTGGCGTCTCATCGATACCTTTGTTCTTTCCGCCTCAAAGCTCGGGCACTACACCCAGCTGGGTGGGCACGCACCCAGGAGGGTGAGACGCGGCTGTCCTGCGCTGGTCAGTGAGGGAGAGGCCCATGGGGCGATGGGGGTGGTGCTGAGTGTATCTGATAGGCAGTGACTCCTACAGTGTGAGCCCTTTCATACCACCCCCCCAGCCCAGGAGACTCCAGGGAATGGGGGGGGACCCTGTGAGGGTCCTGGCCCAGCTCCCTCATCCTTTGCTCAGAAACCAATTGTGACCAGGAAGCTCAGAGACACTGAGAATCTGGGGAGCGAGAGGGGCACGCAGGGAGGGACACCTGTCCTGTGAGTCACAGGCTGACGCAGCCAGGCGCCTCTAAAGTCAAGGTCCAGGGGCAGAGCTCTTCATGACAGCCCCACGGGCCAGAGGAGGGTCCTGGGGGCTCCAGTGGGCACGGGTGCTCAACTGTGAAACCTAGAGCGCCCCTTGCCCCTGCCCCCAGGAGGGGGTCAGCCTCCGATGCTTGGGTTCTTCACAGCACGTAGCAGCCAGCCAGTGACACAAGGCGAGGACTTGCCCTCTCCACACGGCTGAGCACCCAGGCCCACAGACATGGAGGGTGCGGGCTGCAGACAGCAGGGTGCCAGCACAGAGCTGGCCGATGCCTTGTGCGCTGCCTCCCGGCACCCGTGGTGCTGCAGTGGAACTGCGCTCAGAGGGCTCGCAGGGGCTGGTTTCTCTGTAGCAGTCACCAGCATCACCGTTGTGCTATTCTGTGTCTGACAGCCCAAAGTCATGCTCCTTATGGGGACCAATCCCTGTTCACGCCTGCAGCCAGGCCACACACCTTCGTTAACACCAAGGGGACACACCAAACCCATTGCTGCCGCGTCTGCCCCAAGGGCAGACAACAGCCCCATAGAGTCTCCGTCATTACAGGAGGCGCCAGCCGTGTTTTCCTTCCTTGGAGCAACTGGTAGATTCGAACTGCTGACCCTGTTAGCAGACCAACACTTAACACTGTCCCACCAAGGATCCTTTCCCCTCTGAAGTCAGGGTAAGGGAGGTAGATTTTATACACAGTAAACCTGACCCTTTACAGATACAATTCTGAGTTTCCAGAAAGGAGATTCAAACGTGTAACCCCCACAGCTAAGACAAAGGACATAGAGGTGCTCAACCCGCCCCCATGCCCTGGTGTGCGCCACGTGCGCCACCCCCCGCCCTGCGAGCGCCTTGTCGGCTTGCTCTGTTCCAGAGGGCCTGGTAAGTCCTCACACAGAAAGCAAAGGCCCCTTTCCCGGAGCGTTCTTCTGGAAGGCTCCCGGGTTCAGGGGTCAGCTTCAGGTCTGAGCATAGGGCAGACGGGGGGCGGAGTGGGCTTTCTCATTGCTTGCACGCCAGCTGCAGCAGCAGCACTTGTGGAGAGCAGGCGTCCCGTTGCTCCATGGACTTGAGCGGCCTGCGTCTTCGCATCCTTGTTGAAGGCCACAGGGTCACACTGGAGGTCTCGCCTGCTCTGTTGGGGCTCTCAGCTACTGTCCACCGCGATCTGGAGAACACTAACTCCATGACGTTGCTTTTTCTTAATGTGGCGTGATGTGGGTGAGTTTACATAGCAAACTGGTTCGGGGCAGGGCACTGTCTAGTTGTCACTGGGGGGTTTCCTGCAGCTCTGACTGCTATCACTCTCGTTGTTCGGAAGAGACCACTGGCTGCCTCGCATCGGCTATTGCTCACCTAAGTTGGATGTGGAGCACTGTCTTGTGGATTGACAATCGGCTGTGGTATCTCTGACACTAAAGCCCTGCCCTTGGGTCATGATGTCTTCAAATCAGTGCATTATCAACTTGTCAATGTCTACAACTATCACTGGGATTTTAATTGTGATTGCCTTGAATCTATACATCAATTTAGAGAGAATAGACATCTTAAATTACCAGCACGAGATCTCTTTCAACTTTAAGTTAAATCTTCCCTGGGTCTTTCCTTCCGTGGTACCAAGTTTTTCAGGACAGATCTTACACATAAATTACATGTGTGTGAACGTACACGCACATATATGGAAGTGTAGTGGTTACGAGTAGGACTACTAACCCCAAGGTCAGAGTACGGAACCACCAGAAACCCCCCAAAAAAGATGAGGCTTTCAACTCGCTAAAAAGTTACAGTTTTCAGGTCTATCTAGATAAGATGGGCTGGATAAACAATCTGGAGAAGAAATCAACAGGATGGTTCTTGGGGGACGGGGGAGAGGGGGAGGT